GAGATATATGAATGTTTTCTATAGAAAGTTGTAGAGCTTAAAAAGGCGACAACATACATCTCCGTATGTTAAGGGTAATTCACAAGTTAATAAAATATAACTCTTAATCATAAACTGAATTTCATACGACGAATCCGCGGGAACATCTAGTGTTATATAAATAGAGGGGAAAACTTATTAATCCTTCTTTTCTTACCTTACGCTATTTAAAATGTAGACCTTTTGAATGATTAAGGGATCAAATTTTAAAGAAAATACAAGAAAATAAAGGTTTTTATTTATTAAATTCCAATGAACTATTCACCTTCAATTAATATAATACAATGGAATACAATACACCCCGGCGGGGTGTGACAACTGCAATAACAAAAATTTTTCCTCATTAACCTGAGGAAGTTTGTAGTGGATGGAAAATCGAAAATGAATTTTCACATTAATATTGCAATAGAAAATTGAATAAAAAAAAAATACCAACATTACCATTATTACAACGTTAGGACAATCTCGTCTGATTAAAAATTGACAAAAATAGTCTAATATTTTTCTTCACAGTTTAGTTTTACTGTCTTTTATTGAGGCTATGGCTACACTTTTGCCAACAATACCACCCCACATCAGTTGACTAGTTATTTGTACATAATAATCAATGAACTACAAAATTAAATTTCATATCAGAGCAACCAAAATTTCGACCACGGTCCATCACAAGTTCATCAAGAATCCTACTTAAATGTCTTTTAAAAAATTAGATAGAAACGCCACAGGAGGTATATATATGTAACACAACTAGCTCAAACTTAGTTTTTGTTGTATTAGTATTGGAAATGTAAAAAAAAATTAGTAAAATGGACAATTTTTTGGATATCACGATGTGAAGATTCGGAATTTGAAAAAAAACACATTACAACGAGAAAGAGCCATGGAATATTTTTCTGTAATGGGCCGAGAAACTGGTTATCAACGGAGACAATCTGCGGTATCATTATTGAGCGCAAAAGCCAAATACATTGCGGCAGAAGGCAGTGCTCAAGAAAGATATGTCTGAAAGTTTTGTTGAAAGAACAGATTAGCAGTCATTAATGTGATAGCGAATTTAAAAATGAACAATAAAGGCGTAATGTCGCTAATTAAAACTGGTCAGTTTTGTAAGACAAATATGAAATCCTTAAATATTACATACGAATTTTCTAGCAACTATTCATTTAAACGGGTTTTGTACAAATGCAGTTTATTTTAAACAATAACACTATGTATGCACATAGTTGGATTCACGAACACTTACTTACTTCACACTTTGTTTGTGTCATCTTATATTAATTGGTAGTCGTACTATTTATGTCGTTTGTTGATACATCAGGTGTTTTTAACTACTGCTCTGGTGCTACTTCTCAAATCCTATTCAACCGTTACCTGGCTGTCTGTCGTCCATATTATCATGGAATTTTCTAGACTCACTCACGATATTTCTTGAACCTTCTGGTAGGCTCTAGCAAATTTCCTTACATATGCATGTGTATAAGTTCTTGTCGTCAAACTATGTACGTTCATATCCGCAATACTGCCTCCTTCTTAAGGATCATATGCTGCCGTCATTTCAAACGATCATGCCTGCATTTGCAGCTCTAGCCCTTATGACATCCAGAAGGAGCAATCCACTGTCTTCCATTGGACGGGTTCTATCGGAACGCAACCTCCAGCATGCTATATATCACCCGCCCGTTCAGCCCTCTTGCTAATATCGGTAGGACTAGCTAACTGGTTAGCAGCAGGACTCGAGTTCCACCTAGAAATCCCTTAACAAAGGTTAAATGGATCTGACAGATGATTTTGCTTTGATGACGACGAGGGTAACACATAAATAATTCCCATCCTTCTTTTTCTGTGTTGAACTTGCAGCTCCGGCAAAATGCCCAAACTTGTTTATAAAAACCACAATTTCAGGATTTCACGGACTATATTCAATTCTTAGGCCACACAACGATCTAGCTAATATACATTCCAGAATGCAAGCACGGTGTAGTTATGAGTTTCAATATACTAGGAATCTAGAAAAGAAACCTGCATAATTCTGATTTCCAGCGTATGGAAATAATAAGGTATTTCTATATTTCTATTAGATCAGGGAGAAGATTATCGTTTTAGTTGTTGTTTGATATCAAATACATTTTAGTAAATATAGTAAGTCCTTTTTGGACTGGGTTTGAGCTTAGGTAGATGAACTACAAGTTTGGTTTAAACAAGGTCTGAGTTGTTCTCGCCGCTCGCGACTGAATTTTAAGCATCCAAGGCTTTCTTTCTGTAGCAGGTGTGGTTCAATTTACTATTCATTTACAGTTTTGTCAAAAGTATAAGGCATAACTCTCTACTGAAGAAATCTTGGTTAAAGAGAAGGAAGTCTATGTAAGTTACCATACTTCTGTTGTTCTAAATTGTCATAATAATAGATACGATGACCTTCAGTGGCATGTATCTAACCCAAATATATATGCAAATCATTATTCTTCCCCCATGACCCGTGATAAATAACCATGTTCAGACAACAGGTAATTTAACATGTGCTACCGAAGAGCGTAGCCTTCACAAATCGTTGGTGCACGGTTTGACTAAATTGGACTTTGTACCAATACACAACTTTTGGTATTTTCAATTCCTTGATGACATACTTGTTACAAACCCTAAATTCCCTGACTGTACGTAATGGTGCTTGACTGATCTCATACACAAATAACATATTTGAAATGAATTGTTAAAGTATAATAATCTGATTCGGTTTTGTTAGAGTTTTCGCAATCCTTGGATCGAATGTTGGATCATATTGGTTCCCACAAACAACAAAAATATTATAAATGACGCAGTAAACGCCATCTGTAGTACGATGCTACAATTTTAGGATTACGTATGCTCCAACAACGTCCACTTGTGTGGATATCTACTTGCTGAAAACGAATCCCGGCGTAGCCAACCTCAACGTGATAGGCACGTTAGCTTAATCGAATAAAATAATCCGAAGTGGTCTGTATTCTGTCGAAACTGCCAGACGTGGATCGCGATTTCGATCTTTTTGGATCTCATCAGCGCGTCGCAGGCAGCTCCGACAGAACACAGACCAACTTTTACCTGCTGTCTTAACAGTGCGTTTTAGAAAATACAACAAATGACGCAGTAAACGCCATTGGAAAACTGTATTTCCAAAAGATTGAATTAAATTTTTATAACTTCGGAACTAATTTAGTGTTAGAAAAAAAAACAAGAGTAAACATATGTGATTTTCGTTGTTGTTAGTAGACTGGTATTATACAAGCTACTATTATACTTTGGAGTTGATGTTAATAATGAAGTTTTATAACCAGCTATTTAATTGTTCATTTTTGTTGTATTGTCTAAAGTTTACTATTTGCTTTTGGAATCTTTCTTACAGATATTCAAAGAAAGATAATTATTAATTTAGCAATTTGGTAAAAGGTAGGTATGCCCTTTTTAAGATTGTAGTCTTTGAACTAGGGACAGTCACCTCCTTAATAGTCGAACTTTTCTTTAAAGTAAAAGCTATATTTTAATCTGAATTGACTTCATTCTGAAACTTCTATAAACAATTGAAGAGATTAATATTTCTGACTCTAAAATAAAATTGTCAGGTTGAATTCTTGATTTTTATTTAGAAATTAATTTTTGATGGCAACAGCTAAAGAAATGGCTGTCATGCAATTGCATCTGGGCAAAATTATATTGAATGCTTATAATGAATCTAATGTTCAAATTCAACAAAACGTTAGATCGAGGCACTTCTTCAGCAATAATTTCATCGGGGAATAACAGTTTTTGTACTAATCACGAGAAATTGTGAAAATTTAAATTTTCAGAGATCATGAATACTTAACTAAAAATTTTTTCGCAACAGTACATGAAGTTTATGCCCAAGGTAAAACCTATTTGTTACAGAAATTGAACAGGATAGCTCCAAAGCCTGTAACCCATACTCAATAAGCAGCAGCATCTCCAACTTCACAGTTAATAAGGATCGATACTACTCATCTTCCGCAATTGAAAATTCATAAATTCATGGAAAATCATTGAGGTTATAAATTTTTCACCTTTAATCATTATTTAAACGATCCATATCATCCCAATTTTGTTAGGGTTTTGGGAAAATTTGATCATATCGCTTCATATACAGATTTTTCTACATGACTCCCTGTTACGAATTATATTAAATTAAACTTCATTTGTCTAATTCTACAAGGCTTTAAGTCGTACGTTAGAAACTGATGACAGTATTAGCGAGTGATTTTCACTTAATGCCATGACACTCTCACTACTAACAGGGGAGTCAAATTTGGTTCTGCAGTTCTGCATTCAATCCGCGACGTCTTTAGTAGAAGAATACCAGGTTTCTAGACGGTATTTACTGGAACATTCTGGAACGCGGCCAGCCTCTATAAATAGCAAGTCTTAAGATTAGCACGCCACAAAACTCCAAGTGAAGCACTATCACACACCCTAGAGTTCGAAGAGGCGAAAAATCACGTAGGTACAACAAGCAGAAATTGACAATACAATTACAAAAGAAGGAGTCATGTCGCTCATCAGCGAATGCGTAATCGATGTCAAGAAAGCTACTGCTTGAAACACAGAATAACGGAACCCACAGTGTTATGAATATAAAAGAATTGGTCATTTTGCTCGAGACTGCAAGAAACAACTGCAGTGGTCGTCAAAAATGCTGGAATTGTAGATTAGGTCACCTAAATCGAGAGTGCACCTCGAGAAAACAAAATCCAAAACGTTGGAAATGTAAAAAGACTGGTTTTTATGTTGGAAACTTGTAAGAATTACAGTGGTCGTCCGACGTGCTGGAATTGTGGGAGAATTGGACACATAAATCAAGATTGGCCTTTAAACAATACACGGTCTTTCGGCGAAAATAGACGACAATAGGAAGGACGAATGCAGCCTCGGTATAGAACATCGCCCAGGCAAACAGCACACGGAAACGCAAATACACTATCCCGGAGACTCCCCTCCCACAGGGTCCTCATCCTGTCGGGGTGAGGGGGCTCAGTACCCATACACATGTTATGGCGAAGGAAAAGAACCCCCGGACATCTGGAAGCCAAAGTGATTGTGGGAAGCGGGAGCACGGGCGAAGGTCCGGAAGCACCCGTCTGGTGTTTTGTAGAGTTCCGCGGAAGCCCCGAGGGGAAACTACACGGCAAGCTGGCATTCGAAGGCGATGTAAGCCCAGCACAGACGAGGTAGGCTGGCTAACATGGAGGCCGCTCTTCCCCGCAATAATGCCTGCCGAGTCGAAAGGGAGGCTCTCCCGGTGCGGCCACCAACATCTTTAGTGGCAAGCGCATGGGGACCTCGACAGGCGGCGAAAAGTCAGCGGTCCTCTGGGTAGCTGCACACCCTACCCACGTCTAAGGCGAAGTAAGTGACCTGGCAAGAGGTGCGCATCAGGCGGGGTCACAGAGTTGAAGGAGGTTACAACGTGGAGCATAGTGGAAGTCTTGTATGAATCGGATGTGCAGTCTGACCCTCGGGCTGCACACCTGTGGCGAAAGCAGAGTGGATGCGAAAGCATAGTAGCTCGAGCAATCCAGGAGGCCGGTGATTGCGAGTATACGGCAAAACGGATGTCACCCAGCGAGGGGTGCTCCAGAGAGCCTGTGCGGGTACTCGGGAGGCGGGGAAGCCCCAGGAGTCTAGCTTCGATTCCAATCCCGACAATTGGTGGTAGTTGCGTACAATCCGCATGCTGCATTAGGGGGCTGTGCAGCTAATCGCCCGGTTCGTTGAGTAGTCCCTGCATTGAACGCTAAATGGATAAATGTAGATAGGTCCGAACTTGGGGGTTACTCGCTTTGTTAACCTTCAGGCACCGCATAGGTGGCTTCCTGAGACCAATCCGCCGAACGGAGGGGAGACCCCAAGGAGCCCCTCATTCCATCATGGCTCAGCTGTGTTGGTTTGAAGTGTGGATTTGCCATGACATGGTAAGGAGCCGCACGTGAAATCTTTATTAGTTATCCCGGAAACTGCGAGGAAAACTGCTAACATTGTTCATCTGCAAAGAAGGCAGAACTGGCATCGATCTGGTGTAACCTACCCACCATTCAGCCTGAGGAATCTTGGGAAGATAAGGCATTAATCGAAGACCAAAAGAATGACGAAGACATTGGCCCAATAGTGAGGTGGAAGAAAGCCGGAACCTCAAGACGATCGTGGGCAGATGTAAGCCACCTAAATCAAACAACGAAAAGTCATTGGATGCAGTGGACTTTCCGTAACTTGGATCACGGAATTTTAAAAAGAATGTGACAAAGTCCAAATGGAACCCGAAACAAGCTCCAAGTGGTATATCCGAAGAAAACAATTTCAGAATTCACAGAACCAATCCACGACGAAGGACATTTCGCGAACGATTTTATTGATCACGAAGTAGAAATTATGTGGGAGATCGGTGCAGGAAATGCCTGAAATGACCCGCCAGTAAGGGACCAAAGAAAAGAAGTCGTGGACGAATGCAACAGTACAACGTGGGAGCGCCATTCCCAATGACAGACTCCGGTAACCGACACATCTTGGTAGTCATGAATTACTTCAGCAAATATCAAATCAGAAAACACACACCGTTGTCGAAAAAATTGTCAGTGATTAGATTACTCGATATGGAGTGCCAATGGAATTCAATTTCGACCAAGCAGGAACTTCCAATCGATTTTATTTAAGAACATTACTGAAATGGGCATTACTAAAACGAGGACTACGCCCTACATACATAGTCTAATGGAATAGTTGAACGATTTAACGCTTTCCTGGAGACCAATTTAAGAAGTGTCGTCAACGCGACTAAACTGACTGGGACCAACACATCACTATTCCTCCTGGCTTATAGATTCGCTATCCATGAAACAACTGGAAGAATAGAAACCAGAATGAAGGAACTCAGGCCCGGCTTTCTCCCTACAGAGGCGACGTAACTGATGAAGTTTTTTACAATGGATGTTGATATATGTATATAGGTACTCAAAATTCAACTTTATTAAAGGCGCGTTGCTAATTTAAAAACTAACTGATTTATTTAAATTTAATACAAGCAGTAACTTTAAAGATTGGAAGTTTCTGAAACAATTTCATTCAATTCATAGTTATTCTACAGTTTGATTAACTCCATCTAACCATTTAATAGCAAGCGACACACCGTTATAGTTTTTCCAATTTTTCGGGAAGAGGTTGACCTTCGACTTTTGTAACACCTTTTGGTATTGTGCCGGAAAGCCTCTTTTAAATAATTAATTATAATTCCTCATAATTGTTTCGAAATTTTAAAAATAAATGAACTGCCAATGCGAATACAAAAAAAAATTATTCTTTACTTTCAATCATTATTACACCATTATTGAAACCTGTCTTGTTGAAATAACAAACAATCTAGTAAGGACCTTACAGAATTATTTTTCGCGTCATCCATAACGAATAAAATTTCAGAGGGAAAAATAGCTAAATGTACAACATTAACGAAATGGGGAGAAAACAATGCTTCCAAATGCGTACCTTGACTAAACTTAAACAAAAAAGGGAATAACGAAACTTTTGACTATCGTACTTTTTGAAACATTTACCACGTTATGTTCAGACTATTAACTTGACTATATTTGAGGCCTTTACAACAAGCTTTTTAATTTTATGTCTCCCCAAAAATGACCTCTTTGTTCAAAATTAATTTATTTACGTTTGAGACACCGAAATTCATATGTGTACTAAATTTCAACTTAATCGGTCCAGTAGATTCGGAGCAAATTACCTGAGACGGACGGACAGACAGACACATGAGTGATCCTATAAGGGTTCCGTTTTTCATTCGGACGTACAGAACTCTAAAACTGATATAATTACAAATTAATGAACAAAATACTACAATACATGCCCATTAATATTCAATGCAAATTTTCGCTTATCATCTAGGGTAGACAGTACAAAATATTTTTTTCACTGAAAATTTGTAATGTACTAATATTATATAGTAGTATTAAGCAAAAGCAACAGAATCGTAATGTTTACATCTATTAATAGTAAATATTGTACCCTGTAATACCATTAAATAGTACAAATCGTATTATTAATAAATGGTTTACTATGAGATATACCTACATATACGAGGTGTGTTCAAAAAGTACCCGGAATTTTTAAATTTCGCGGGTCTGGAGAGTCCGATTGTCAATTTTTTTTTTTATTGTGTTGGTATACATGCCCCTAAAGTATGATAAAATTTTCAGCTATATTCACTGTTTACTTTGTCTGTGGTAGTCGCTAAGGTTCGACGTGTTTTTATGTGCTCGGCGATTTTTGCTTGTTTAAACAATGGAAGAATTGAAGAGTCAAAGAATTTGTATTAAATTTTGCGTAAAAAATGAAATAAAGTGTAAAAAAGTGTGTGAGCTGTTACAAAAAGCCTATGGTGAGTCTGCTATGAAAAAAACAAGTGTTTACGATTGGTATAATATAATCGATGACGAACGCTCCGGTCGACCCTGCACGTCAATAATCGATGAAAATGTGAAAAAAGTGGAAAAAATGGTTATGAATGATCGCCGAATCATAATTAGAGAAGTTGCTGATTAAGTTGGCATATTAATTGGCTCATGTCATAACATTTTTTCAAATGTTTTGGGCATGAAACGAGTGGCAGCAAAATTCATTCCAAAACTGAAACTGCTGAATTGTGACCAAAAAAACAATCGCATGAACATCGCATGAACATCGCTCAGGAGCTGTTAAATGACGTCAACGACGNGTTTAAACAATGGAAGAATTGAAGAGTCAAAGAATTTGTATTAAATTTTGCGTAAAAAATGAAATAAAGTGTAACAAAGTGTGTGAACTGTTACAGAAAGCCTATGGTGAGTCTGTTATGAAAAAATCAAGTGTTTACGAGTGGTATAAGCGTTTCCAAGATGGCCGCGAAGACGTTGAAGATGACGAACGCTCAGGTCGACCCTGCACGTCAATAATCGATGAAAATGTGAAAACAGTGGAAAAAATGCTTATAAATGATCGCCGAATCACAATTAGAGAAGTTGCTGATGAAGTTGGCATATCAATTGGCTCATGTTATAACATTTTTTCAAATGTTTTGGGCATGAAACGAGTGGCAGCAAAATTCATTCCAAAACTGCTGAATTGTAACCAAAAAAACAATCGCATGAACATCGCTCAGGAGCTGTTAAATGACGTCAACGACGATCCAAGTTTACTTGAAAGGGTCTTAACTGGTCATGAAACATGGGTGTACGGTTATGATGTCGAAACCAAAGCACAATCGTCCACCTGGAAGCATTCAACGTCACCAAGAGCGACAAAAGCACGTCAAGTTCGATCAAATGTCAAGGTTTTGCTTACTGTTTTCTTCGATTATAATGGCATAGTGCATCAAGAGTTCTTACCACAAGGTCGTACGGTTAATAAGGAGTATTACCTTCAAGTTATGCGACGTTTGCGTGAAGCAATCCGAAAAAAACGACCCGATTTATGGAAAAACAATTCATGGCTTTTGCACCACGATAACGCACCTGCTCACTCGTCGTTGCTTGTTCGTAATTTTTTGGTCAAAAACAATACCGTAGTCATGCCCCAACCTCCATATTCACCAGATATGGCTTCGTGTGACTTTTTCCTGTTCCCAAAGTTGAAGAGACCCATGAAAGGACGGCGTCTTTCCTCGATTGAAGAAATAAAGGCCGAATCGCTGAGAGTGCTCAAGGACATACCAAAAAGTGAATATCAAGAGTGCTTCGAAGATTGGAAAAAACGCTGGCATAAGTGTATTATATCTGGGGGGGACTACTTTGAAGGGGACCACATTGATGTAGACGAATAAATAAATATTTTTTTGAAAAAACGACAATTCCGGGTACTTTTTGAACACACCTCGTATGCATTAAAAAAATGGTATTCATAACTAAAATTCAAAGTTCTAGGAATTATCATATATTACTATTGCTTTGAAATGAGTCCTTTTTCTGAAAAATAGCAAAAAAGAGTAAAGAAAACTATATTACTACACATACAT